GCAGTAACATCTCCAATGTTATTAAAATCTGTTGCGGGTCCATTCTGGGCACTCAGAAGACGTTTGTTGATGTTCATCATGGAAGTGGAACTTTTTTCGGTGTGTGTGTGTTTTTAGGGAAAGTTAACCGCGTTTGTCAGTGTTTCTATTCTGAATAAAAGCCTGGTACATGTAAACACTCATCATGATCGGATTGTGCCCTCGTAAGCGATACATTCGGATTATTTAATCGAATACATTTCAATCYGATCAAAGAATTTTGWGCWTGTTAAACATAGCTATAGGCAACTAGTTGTAGCACTTCCTGTGTTACTCATGAAGTTAATAATGTAAAAAAGATGTTAAACTAAATGAACTGCAGTGGAATTTTTAACCACTTTGGTCTTAGCCACACTGAAACTAGGCATTAGCTCATTAATCCAGTCAGAATTAAACTCTGGTTCTTCAAACTACAGTCATTTAAAGAGTTGGTATTCAAAATGTTGAGCCCCATTTCTAAGAATCTAAACTATTGATTTAAACCCTTAAAAAAATCTAACTTTATTGCTCATCTAAGTAAATGTGGTGCCTGTCACAGGTTTATTAATAGAAAATGTTACAAAGTGGGCAGATAAGGCTTGCTTTGAATTAGAGGCTGCACTCTTCTCACCACATGCAAACACACACAGACACACACACACACGCGTACAATCTGGTACAGCTACATTTATGGGGACCTGGCATTGACTTCCATCATTTTCGACAGCCTAACCTTGACCACAAACCCTAAGGCTAACCTCACAGGTACCTTCCTGACCCTAAAACTAACCTAAACTCAATTCACACCTTGGTCCTAAACCCAACCCCCGACCCACTAACGGTGTTTCCCTTTCAGACTAGACTTGGGTACCCATGAGTACCAGTCAGGTACCCATAAGTAGCATTAGGTCCCCACATGTAGGTGTGTATGCCAAAAAACTGTCCCACAACGTAGAGAATACCAGTCCCCACACACACACACACACACACACACACACACACACACACACACGTATTAGGGAGAACCATTGATGTCAAAAGGCACTGAGACAGACAGCCTCTGAAGTTGTGGGGCCCAAAGGAGCACCCGGTCCCACGAGGCTGCATTTTCCTTAAAACTGGGCCCCACGATGTTGGAAAAACAAGGACCCACACACACACACACACACACACACACACACACACACACACACA